GCATACGTCGATCAATCGTCGCACACACGCGCACATCATTCGATCGCCGATCATTTTCGTTTCTTCTCATTTGTTTTTTTTTTCTTTTTCAGTTTTTACCCATCCTTCTCCTTGTTCTTCATCGTCATCATTTATTTTTATCATCTTCTTTCTTGTAGAAGATAATATTGTTTGTTTTTTTTTTTCGTTTTTTTTTTCTTTTTTTTTAAATTATCTTGTCGCATCATCTTCATCTCTCTCTCTCTCTCTCTCTCTCTCTCTCTCTTTCTCTTCCTGTCCCTTTTTTATTATTTTAATATTATTAATATTATTAATATTAATATTTTTATTATTTATTATTATTATTATTATTTATTATTTATTATTATTATTATTATTATTATTATTATTATTATTATTATTATTATTATTATTAATATTATCATTAATATTATTATTATTATTATTTTGTTGTTGTTGTTGTTGTTGCTGTTGCTGTTGTTGTTGTTGCCGTGGCAGTTAAATTTTAAAGTTCCTTGAACTTTTAAGCGTTCGTTCGTATGGTTCTTCATGTCGATCGTAAAAAACCCGTATTGTTTTCTTCCGCAATAGCTTAGTAATGGCCGTTCGCACGAAGAAAATCCGAGGGACGATCGATCGATCGATCGATCTCACGTCACTTTATAGGCCAGAGAGTTCTTCCTTTTATCCTTATCGATAAATTCTATATCCATTTTTTTTTTGTTCTGTTTTGTTCTGCTTTTCTTTTTATTCCCCAACCCCCTTTCCCTCCCACTCCTTCCACCACCACCACCATCACCATTACCACTACAACACCCCTCCATCACTTTTTCGCATTTTTTTCTCCGTCTCCTCTTCCTGTCTTCCATTTTTCCTTTTCTTCATTTATTTCTTTCCTTCTTGTGTTCTCTCTTAGTTAGGAGAAACGCTCAGCAGCTAAATTTCGTACGCGTTCAGCAAGGTAACTCCTGACGTGCGGGCTTCGACGTATGCTTCATCGAGTTCATGGTACATCAGGGGTTGTCCGCCGCCATTATATTATGGACTTGTTCAAGCTTGTACGCTAATCTTTGCTTCTGTGAGAATTCGTCCTCCTCCAAAGTAACTATCAGTTGTTCGTTGTATTTACCCGCGTATGTGTAAAGTTCGTATAGGGCACAATTCGTATTGAATTCCGTTGTATGTAACTGCAAAATATAAATACGATATAAATATATTATTATTGGTTTTATGAATATATTAAAACATTTTAATCGCGTTTTGATTCTTTCGTAAAGAAAATTTTTAAATTTAAGCCCGGCAAAAGATAATGTGCCATTTTAAAAGTTAAAATGAATAATGTATTTCTCTATAAAAGATATTTATTTTATGAAACAATTAGATTTATATTGGTTTTTTTTTCTTTTTTTTTTTTTTTTTTTTATTTATTTACGTGAAACGTCGAAAAACACATTAATGTTTTAAAGCCAATTGATTATCGTTAATAAAAAAAGAGAACATATTAATGTGAAGAAAGAAAAAGAAAAAGGGGGAGAAAAAAGAAAAGAAGCAAAAGAAATGTAACGAAAGAAAAATATAATAGGAATTTGATTAATACCCTCGATTCTTCGGCAAGCATGGCGTTCATGTCTTGATCGGATATGGCTGGCATGACTTTGATATCCGAGTAGTAACGTTCTACCCATTCTTTGTACACTGGAATGTCTTTCGCATAAAGCAACTTCGAACTCGGTGAGTCCTTACCTAAAGAGTGAGAGAGAGAGTGGGAGAAAGAGAGAGAAAGAACAAAAATTTAAAAAAATCAAATTAAATCATAACGAAAGAAGTATATATATATATATATATATATATACTTCTATATGAGCCATTTTATATTTCTATATGAGCCATTTATTTTGAAACTTTGGCTTAAGTCCATAAAAAAAGAAAAGAAAAAAAAAAGAGAGAGAGAGAAAAGAAAAGTTTATAATAGTAACAATTGCGATTTCTTTTTATCTTTAAACAACATTAACAACAATTCAAAATAAACGGCCAATATATAAATATTATACGACATTGAATTAATATTAAAAATTTTGTAATTATTACGAATGATAAACGAATGATATATAACAAACCTAATCTATGATCCGACGTGGAACAACTATCCATGAACGTCTGCGCCACGACGGATAGACACGAGTCGACGATATTTGACTTGTGTATGTCGAAGATGAAATTTGGATTTTTAATAAGATTAACCCAAAACCTTAAGGGCAAAGAATTACTTTTCCATGTATGGACCACTTCGGGGTCAGATATGCCATGTTGTAGCGCTTGATCGTCCATAAAGTCAAACATATATTTAATAGCAAGAGGAAGCGCCGAACCTCGATGGGCAGTGCTAAATATTGTCTCGAATAGATCATCGACGAATTTTTGTAATGTACCCTTGGTGGCTAATAACCTCGTTAGATAGATTTCTGAGACCATTTTATTACCACGATCGCCCTCCTTTCTT